GACTAGAACCCGGTGTGCTGGCGCCGCTAGGCGGAGGATTAGCCTAGTGAGCTGTGGCGCCGGCCTCTTATTCTTTCTTTAGCCTTGATTTCTAACAACCCCCTGGCCTCCCCCTCATTTGGCCCCTGCACCAAATTACTGCTGAGGAGATCAGAACTAGCCCGGTTACCAAGTCACCCTCTACTCGGCACAACACTACAGAAACAATTAGTGCACAACCCTTCCAAGGTCACCAAGACTAAGCAGAGGAACACACACACACACACACACACACACACACCTGTGGGGAGCAACTGGGAGCAACTCGGACTAGACTAAGTTACTGGAATTAAGACTTATTCTATGCATCTGCTCTCCCACAATATGGCGCTGGGAGAGGAGGAAACAGCTTCTACACAGCTGCCTCCAGTTCAACCAATAAACAGCAGGACCTGCTCCTGATTGGAGGAGAGCAGCATACTCGGCGTGTGGGTAGCAGAGTTGGGATTGGTGGAAGAGGACTATAAAGGAGGAGAGAGACAGCATGCACCAGGAACATCTATCTGAAGGAACACCTGTGCAGCCCCCGAGAGAGCCGACCGGCGGTGTGCCGCTCCCCCACAGAAGTGGGGAAAGTGGCTAGGGGGAACCGCCCTTCCACGGAGGTGGAAGGGACGGTAGCCAACCCGGGAAGAACCAGCAGCAAACCCGGGGAGGGCCGAGCAGACAAAAGAACAACGCAGGGTCCTGTGTCGTTCCTCCACGAAGACGGGGAGCGACAACACCCCTCTAGCCTAAACGGTGACTTGATCAGCCCTCACCCTGACTGTTGATGAGCAGCTTAATATGTTATCCCTCTTAGTATTTTTTTTTGTTCTACTTAATACTTTTGGTTGAATACTGTAATCAATACACAATTCTTAAGTGCTGAAACTTAACTGAAAAGTGTTTGCTGTTAAATATGAGTGGGAATAAGAGAGGGAAGAGATGTGCAATTCGGGACATGCTCAAGCTGACTTATCTCAAACAGTAGAGTTAGAAACATACCAGGGGATTCGAATTCAATCCCATCGAGGTGGCATGAACCAATGCCATCTCACTAGTCCCAGTGATCAATTTCTGTTCACAATTGATCATAATGATAGGACTAAGAACCAAAGGGATCACATAAACAAGACTAGTGTCTGCAAATACTAGCTGATAGAATCAAAAAGGGAGAGAATGATCCAACATGGGAAGTGAGATACACAGCAGACCCATAGAATGGCAAATGTCCTAACAGCACTCTGGCCTCATAATCAGCCCTTAAGGCATGCGGATCCGGCTGAAATGCCCATGAGAGTATTTCAGGCATGGAAAGCCAAGACACTCTGGGGGAAAAAAAACCTAAATGAAAGATCTCCGTGAGTGAGATCCCAGTGGAAAGAATGGGTCATCAAAGAAGGAGGTACCTTTCTCTGAAGGGAGGAGAGAACTTCCACTTTGACCATGGCCTTGTCTAAAAATGATCAGAGTCAGTGAACTCAGGGGGCTTCCATAGCCTTGACAGCTCATGACAAGAGCCTAGGGTGATTACTGATGCCATAAGCAAGAGTGTCAATTTGTTAAGTCAACAACAGGAGTCACTGTGCACTTACTCCTCATGTAGGATCTTTGTCCTTAGTGTGCTGTACATTGTGATTTAATGCTATAACTAGTACTCAAACAGTATTTTTCACTTTATGTTTCTGTGTGGGAGCAAACTGTTGAAATCTTTACTTAATGTATGCTAAACTGATCTTCTGTACATAAAGAGAATCAAAAATGAATCTTGATGTGAATAGAAGGGGTGAGGGAGTGGATAAGGGGAGGGTTGTGGGTTGGAGGGACGTTATGGGGGGGAAGCCATTGTAATACATAAGCTGTACTTTGGAAATTTATATTCATTAAATAAAAGTTTAAAAAAAATATCACCTCTACTTGATAATGTCAATTTTCCTCTCAACCCTGGGACCTCTACAACTCCTGGTCTCTGACAGGCAGGGCTGGCCTAGCAAGGAACAGCAGTCTTTCATCTTGGTGTTTTCTAGGGCCTGCCTAGTACAGATTGCACATGTCCATCACCAGCCAAATCAATCATTTTCTGTTTGGAAATAAGCTGGCCTCTGAGAACAAAAGCCTGATCTTGTCACAATTACAAGGGTCACCATTCCTCAGGACAATGCCTGGGTTTCTTCCCAAGGGCCAATGATTCCAGTGTGGTTACTCACACCCTTCAAAGAACATTCCAGAAAGCAGAAGGGACCACGGGACTGCAGGAAGCTGAAAATGTGGGAGAGGAGACCTAGTGTTTTTAAAAAGCAGAGCTTCCTGACTCATTCTAACCGATGACTCACACTTGTGAGAAGTACAACACTCCTTCAAACACTGCCCACTCCATCTGTGAAAAGGCACTGTGAGAGACTCAGTTGAAACGTTGCTGTAAATTCAAATATAAATCACTATTTAATACTATTCTTAAGGCATGTGTTTGGCACAGTGGTTGACACCTCTTGGGATACCCGCACCCCATATTGGAGCTCCTGGATTCAAGTCCAATTCCAGCTGTCTGCTAATGCATACCCTGGGAGGCAGCAGGTGCTGATGGGTCAAATGCATGCAGATTGAGTTTTGCACTCTTGGCTTTGGCCTGGCCTAGCCCCAGCTGTTGTAGTTAGGGAATGAACCTGGAGATGGAAGATATCTCTGTCTGTCTCTCTTTCTCTCTCTGCCCTTCAAATAAAATAATGACATCATATTTAAAAATGAATACATATTCTAGGATTTCTCTATGGAGTTGAGCAGAGTGAATGTTTCCATTACACCCTTGGAAGGCTCTTGACAATGCTGTTATTTGAACATTGGGGTGGGCATGCAGGAGATGAGAGGGAAAGCCATCCAGAGTCCATGCTCTCATCTACAATGGTCTATGGGCCAGAAAGAATGCCCAGAAAGAATATACCTCAGACTTGCTTAGCACTTTACAACTTAACAGTCTTTCACATGATTCTCCATGATGAAAGGAGGCCCAGGTAGCTTGAGCTAGCATTGAACTAGCAAGTGGTATATGTGACTGAAAGTCAAATCCAGCTCCGGTGACCTCAAATCCTGTGCCACAGCCATTCATCAGAGGCAGTGCAAACAGACCCTGATGCTTGCTCCCTAAAGGCTACTGTAGGGACCCTGGGTAAAGTGGGCCCAGAGTTCTGTCTGGAATTGTACTTTTTCCTTCTAGTTACTTGCTCTTGGTACATCTGAGGTTGGTGAAAAGAACCACTGCAGTGGTCAAAATGAAAATTAACTCTATGGGGGTGGGCATTTGACCAAGCAATTAAGTGCCAGTTAAGATCTCTTGTCCCGGGGCTGTATCGTGGCATACCAGGTTAAGCCGCCACCTGAGACACCCACAACCTATATGGGTACTGGTTCAATTCCTGGATGCTCCACTTCTGATCCAGCTCCCTGTTAATGTACCTGGGAAAGCAGCAGAGGATGGCCCAAGTGCTTGGGACCCTGCAAACCACGTTGGGAGACCCCAGATGAAGCTCTTGGCTTTAGTATGGCCCAAGCCCCAGTTGTTGCAACCATATGTGAACTGAAAGAGGGGATGGAAGATCTCTCTCTTCATAACTCTTTCAAATAAAATAAATACATTTTTTAAAAAGATCCTGGGGTCAGTGCTATGGCATAGTAGGCTAAGCTTCTGCCTGCAGTGCCAACACCCCATATGGGCGCTGGTTCATGTCCGGCTGCTCCTCTTCCCATCCAGCTCTCTGGTATGGCCTGGGAAAGCAGAAGATGGCCCCTGCACCCATGTAGAAGACCCGAAAGAAACTCCTGGCTCTTGGCTTCAGATTGGTGCAGCTCCAGTCCTTGTGGCCATTTGGGGAGTGAACCAGAGGATGGAAGATCTCTCTATCTCCCCCTTTCTGTCTATAAATCTACTTTTCAAATAAACAAATAAAACCTTTTTAAAAAAGATCATTATCCCATGTCATAGTGCCTGGGTTTGATACTTGGCTCCAGCTCCTGACTTCAGTTTCTTTCTGGGAGACAACAGTTATGTCTCAAGTACTTGGGCCCCTACCACCTACAAGAGAGACCTGGCTCCTGGCTTCAGTCTGGCCCAAATCTAGTCATTTTAGGCCTTCAGTGGTGAACCAATAAATGGAAGTCCCCCTCCCCCTTCTCTCTGTCTCTTCCTCTCTCATAAATTAAAAAATAAAAATATCTGCTTGCAAAATGAACATTTAATCTTTCATATGGTACTTAGCTCATTAGAATTAACATGAAAGTATGTTTTTAGGAGTTGGTGTTGTAGCATAATGGGTTAAGCTGCCACCTGCAACAATGGCATCGCATATGGATGCTCCACTTTTGATCCAGCTCCTTGCTAATGCACCTGGGAAGGTAGCAGAAGATGGCCCAAGTGTTTGGGCCATAGCAACCATGTGAGAGACCCAGAGGAATCTCCCGGCTTTGGCCCACCCAGCCCTGGCCACTGCAGCCATTTGAGGAGTGAACCAGAGGATGGAAACTCTCTCTCTCTCTCTCTCTCTCTCTTTCTCTTTTTCTCTCTTTCTCTCACTCTCTCTGCCTCACTGTAACTCTGCCTTTCAAATAAATAAAATAAATTTTAAAGTACATTTTTAAAGCATTGTAATAACTTGCACAGCAGATTCTGACTAGTAGTTACAGCAGCACAATTTATAGGATGTACATGGGAAACCCAAATTCTGAACAGCTGCTGAAGCCATTGAGTATGAATGGAGAGGTATAAGTAGCAGGGAGCAGGGGGGCTTGTGGGTATGAAAATAAATGCTAGTCCACTTCCACAAAATGCCACTGTCCATCTGGAGCGAGTTACTTTGAAGAAGAAATAATTTTCTTGATCCCTCTGTCTCTAGTAATGCTACCTATCTCTTGGTGCTATTCTAGGAAACTCATGTCTTTTCCAGAATTCCTTATACATTGTGGGACTGCTGTCAAGGAAAACAACATACCTTTGAGTAGCTCTTAGTACGTGTTCCTTTCGTTCGTCTTTCTGTAGCCAGATTTTCTTTCAAATAAGGACCTTCTCTAGTGGGAATCTTCCAAACCTCAAGATAATTTCTCAAAGCTCTTACGACATGGGTCCGAAAGCATAAAGCATTTTGTTCCTCTTCAGACTTCGTCTTTTACTGTGTGTGTCAGGGAGATTTTTCAAAAGTGCCCAAAGCCTGCTTGCTGCATTTCTGATGAGCGGATTTCACCTTCTGCCCACCACAACTTCCTCCAGGTTTCGTACTCTTTGAGAGCTCTCGAGCTGCTTAGCTGGTTCAAGCTCTGTGTTCGGAGCAGTTCCACCCGGCATGCCCAGATTGCACGTGTGAAGTGGTGAAGAGAGACCTCTTTCCCCCTTTTTCTTCCTAGAATTAGTGTACTTCCTCTTTGTCAAGGTCTCAGCTGTGGTCAAGCCTTGTGATCAGGCCATCTGACTCTGCTTCCTTCCACTCTGATCCCTTCATTCTACCTCAGACTTGGCTGCCTGTTTGAAGAAATTTCCCATGTTACCTGGCCTTTACTTTGGTGTAGGGTACAGAATTTGTTCTTTCTCTTAGAAGGATGGGCAAGAGAAGCTTGTGAGGAGACTGGATCCTGAAGCTATCACGATATCAACAATTGATTTGAGGTGACTAGCAGAGGCCAGGAAGAAGAAACACCCACAAAAACCCTTTTACAGGGTAGCCCTTAGCGGAACTAAGACACATCTAGCTAGACCGTGGTGCTTTAACCTTTGTACCCTCCGCTCTCCATAGCTCTAAAAGCAACAGGGCCCAAGGTTGCCTCCTGCCAGTGTGTCACACTCCAGAGCTGGGGGAGTGCCTTTTCCTTTGGATAGCACAGGACTCCTCACTTTTAAGCATTGAAACCACAAGGAGAGATGTATCTCTGTAGCAATGCCCTCTCTGGTGGTGGCGGTGGCAGGGAATACTCACCACACTCTCATACTATATATCCTCCCTGGTTTTATAATAACAGTTAAAGGCAAAAATCCTAGTGCATTTATGATGTGCCAGGCACTATACTAAGTGCTGTATATGTATGTATGACAAACCACTCTAAGTAGTGTCCCAATTTTTATTTTTTAACTTCCATTGGTGGACTTGGGCTATTTTATTCCAAATAATGTCACTACTTTTTAAAAAATTGATTATTTATTTTATTTATATCAGAGAGAGAGACTGTAACAGAGAGGCAGACAAAGGTCTTCCATGTGCTAGCTCACTCCCCAAATATCTGCAACAGCCAGGACGGGGCCAGACTAAAGTCACGAGCCAGGAGCTTTATCCTGGTCTCCCACATGGGTGGCAGGGACTGAAGTACTTGAGCCAGCATCTGCTGCTTTTCTGTGGTGTACAGTAGCAAGAAGCTGGATGGGAAGCAGAGCCAGAAGTTGAACCAAGGCATTCCAATATGGGATATGGGGGTCAGAAGCAGCAAATTAACCTCTGCGCCAAATGCCCACCCAACACAATTTTAAATGAGAAAACAGAGGCACAGAATGATGAAATAAGTAGCCCAAGGTCACTCAACCAGCAAAGAGCATGGCTGCCATGGCATAATCTGTTCACCTGGGATCCTTTGGGACCTCTCTTTATCCAGCCTTCTTTCTGCTGGTGGATTGGTAGTGCCTTCTCCTTAGGATCCTGAATCTCTCTTAGGGCACCGCCAGCTCTTCTGAAAATTCTGGATATGCTGTGAGGTTTATGCTTTTTTAAAAATAAACACGAAGTACCAGCGCTGTGGCATAGAGGCCTAAGCCTCCCCCTGCGGTGCTGGCATCCGATGTGGGCGCCAGTTCGTGTTCCAGCTGTTCCTCTTCTGATCCAGCTCCCTGCTACGGCCTAGGAAAGCAGTAGAAGATGGCCCAAGTGCCTTGGCCCCTGCACTTGCGTGGGAGACCTGGAGAAAGCTCCTGGCTCCTGGCTCCTGGCTTCAGATAGGCTCAGCTCTGGCCGTTTCTGCCATTTGAGGAGTATGGAAGACCTCTCTGTTTCTCCCTCTCTCTCTCTGTAACTCTAGTTCTCAAATAAATTAAATATTTTTAAAAAAAATTTTGGGAGCTGGCACTGGAGCTTAGTGAGCTAAGCCTCTGCTTGCAGCGCCAGCATCTTATATGGGCGCCGGTTCAAGTCCTGGCTGCTCCACTTCCTATCCAGCTCTCTGCTATAGCCTGGGAAAGCAGTAGAAGATGGCCCAAGTCCTTAGGCCCCTGCACCCCTGTGGGAGACCCGGAGGAAGCTCCTGGCTCCTGGCTTCGGATCGGCGCAGCTCCGTCCATTGTAGCCATCTGGGGAGTGAACCAGTGGATGGATGACCTCTCTCTCTCTCTCTGCCTTTCCTTCTCTCTCTGTGTAACTCTGACTTTCAAATAAATAAATAAATAAATATTTTAAAAAAAAAAGGAAAGTGTTTTTTAAAAATTGAAAATTTGATGAGCAAAGAGAGCTCCCAGCTGCTGGTTCACTCCCCCAAATGCCTGCAACAGCCAGGGTTGGGACAGTCTGAAGCCGGGAGCCAGGAATTCAATCCAGAACTCCCAAGCAGGTGGCAGGAATTCAACTCCCTGAGCCATCACCAGCTGCTTCCCAGGGTATGTGTTAGTAGGAAACTGGAATGGGAAGCCAAGTAAGGACACAGACCCAGGCATTCTGATACAGGATACTTGGTGCCTTAAGCAGCCATCTTAGCTGATGTACCAAATGCTCCCAACCCTAGCAGATGCTTTTCTTAAATCAGTACACAACTCCTCCGCACCTTTCCAGGGTCAGATATCAGATCAGCCAATTTCTCAGTCTGCACTCCTGGAGAAATACCTGGAGGGAGGAAGGAGAAAGGAAAATGGCTGGGACTGGCACTGTGGCATAGCGGGTAAAGCTGCTGTCTGCAATGCCAGTATTGCATATGGGTGCCAGTTTGAGTCCTGGCTGCTCCACTTCCGATCCAGCTCCCTGCTAATGCACCTGGGAAAGCAGCAGCAGATGGCTCAAGTCCTTGGGCCCCTGCACCCATGTGGCAGACCCAGAAGAAGCTCCTGGCTCCTGGCTCCCAGCTCCCGGCTCCTGGCTCCTGGCTCCAGCCCTGACTGTTGCGGCCATTTGAGAGTAAACCAACAGATGGAAGATCTCTCTCTCTCTCTCTCTCTCTCTCTCTCTCTCTCTCTGTAACTCTTTCAAATAAAATAAATAAATCTTTAAAAAAAGAAAGAAAGAAAATGGCTGATTCCGAATTGATTTGCTTATGATACTGTGTTAATTCCTCCTGTGAATAGGGATGGGTGTGGTGGAGAGCATCTTTTCTGGTTCTCTCCTAAAGGATCCACAGATGCTGAAGATGTCACTGTATGATCTTTCAAGAACAGCATCAAGACCTACCCAGTCTTTTTTTTTTTTTAATTTTTTTTAGTAAAATGAATGGGGAGGGGCGGTGTGGGGAGCAACTGGGACTAGACTGTTACTCGAATTAAGACTTATTCTATTTATCTGCTCTCCCACAATATGGCGCTGGGAGAGGAGGAAACAGCTTCTACACAGCTGCCTCCAGTTCAACCAATAAACAGCAGGACCTGCTCCTGATTGGAGGAGAGCAGCGTACTCGGCGTGTGGGTAGCAGAGTTGGGATTGGTGGAAGAGGACTATAAAGGAGGAGAGAGCCAGCATGCACCAGGAACATCTATCTGAAGGAACACCTGTGCAGCCCCCGAGAGCGCCGACCGGCGGTGTGCCACTCCCCCGCAGAAGTGGGGAAAGTGGCAGGGGGAACCGCCCTTCCACGGAGGTGGAAGGGACGGTAGCCAATCCGGGAAGAACCAGCAGCAAACCCGGGGAGGGCCGAGCAGACAAAAGAACAGCGCAGGGTCCTGTGTCGTTCCTCGGCGAAGAGGGGGAGCGACATAATGGTGCTGTGACTCGGATATGAAGCCTAGGCAGGGTTTAGTGTCGTTCCTCCATGAAGAAGGGGAGCGACATAATGGTGCCGTGACTCGGATAGGAAGCCTAGGCAGGGTTTAGTGTCGTTCCTCCATGAAGAGGGGGAGCGACAGGGCGGCGCTGTGGTGTAGCGGGTAGAGCCGCTGCCTGCAATGCTGGCATCCCATGTGGGTGCCAGTTTGAGTCCTGGCTGTTCCACTTCCAATCCAGCTCTCTGCTATGACCTGGTAAAGCATCAGAGGATGGGCCAACTCCTTGGGCCCCTGCACCCACGTGGTAGACCTGGAAGAAGCTCCTGGCTCCTGGCTTCAGATTGGCGCAGTTCCAGCCGTTGCAGCCAACTGGGGAGTGAACCAGCGGATGGAAGACCTCCCTCTCTCTCTCTCTGCCTCTCCTTCTTTCTCTGTGTAACTCTGACTTTCAAATAAATAAAATAAATCTTTTTTTAAAAAAAAAGCTACTGCAAATTGTTTAACTCTGCTTGACTTGGCAAGCCTGAGATTGTTTGAGGGCCACATGTTAAGGTACACTTAATTTTTTTATTTTTATTTTTTAAAGATTTTTTATTTTTATTTATTTGACAGGAAGAGTTACAGTCAGTGAGAGAGAGACAGAGAGAAAGGTCTTCCTTCCATTGGTTCACCCCCCTAAATGGCCACTACGGCCGGTGCTAGGCCAATCCGAAGCCAGGAGCCAGGTGCTTCCTCATGGTCTCCCATGGGGTGCAGGGCCCAAGCACTTGGGCCATCCTCCACTGCCTTCCCAGGCCACAGCAGAGAGCTGGACTAGAAGAGGGGCAACCAGGACTAGAACCCCGGGGCCCATATGGGATTCCGGCGCCACAGGCGGGGGATTAGCCAAGAGAGCCAGGGCGCAGGCCCTAAGGTACACTTCAAATAAGCCAGATGCAGAAAGGCAAAGACCACATGTTTTATCTCATATGTGGAAGTTAGTATACATATATAGAAAAAAATATGGATTCCATATTATTTGGTATACAGATATTCCCCCCCCTTTTAAGATTTATTTATTTATTTGAAAGGCAGAGTTAGAAAGGGAGAGAGAGTAAGATCTTCCATCTGAAGGTTCATGTCCCAAATGGCTGCAACAGCTGGGGTTGGGCCAGTCTGAAGCCAGGAGCCAGGAGCCAGGAGCTTCTTCTGAGCCTGCCATGTGAATGAAGGGGCCCAAGCACCTGGGCCATCTTCCACTGCTTTCCTAGGCACATTACCAAGGAGCTAGATTGGAAGTGGAACAGCCAGGACTCGAATAGGCATCCATATGGGATGCTGGCATACCCACTACACCACAGCACTAGCCCCATAGATATTTCTATACATAAACTTCATTGAATTATACCCCTTACAGAATGATATACCCTTATTTCATCACTGTATGATCCTTGTCATGAGTCACAGATAATGTAACTATTCCTGATTTCTAAAAAAATATAGTATATATGTGTATATACGTAATACTTACATATGAAGCAAATATGCCAAAATGTTAACAAATGTTAAATCTGTATATGATTGTTGAAATCTTCTTTATACTCTATTATTTGAAACATTTAAAATTAAAAGACCAACCCCCCCCCAAAAAAAAAAAAGAAAAAGATGGACTTTAACAAAAATGAGTGCCAGGCAGCAAGTTAGAGTGCGTGGCAATCACATCACATGATGAACACTTGGGAAAACAGGACATGCTCTGCCAGGGTGAGAGATCTGGGAGGAG